CGCGGCAGGCTGCTGGCCGAGCCCAGCCCATGACCGGTTCAGTCGGACCCCAGCCCGGTCCAGACCGGTTCAGACCGGCTGGACCGGTTCAGCACCATTTTCATCTGGTTCGGCCTATTTAGCCCGGTTTAGCATTTAGAGTTATTTTCAGTAAATTTTCGGAATTATTTCAGTTCAGTAAAATCATGTCCAAATCAGTTCAGATTAATTCAGTTCCGGTTATTCCGGATAAGTCTAAAAACCAGATTAAGTAAAATAGAGCATCTTAACAAAATTAATCAGTTAAGTTAACAGTCTGAGCATAGTCAATAGTAATTGTTTATATTATTTTTAGTTTAGCAGGCATCAGCACTCCCTTTCAGTTCAGCAGTTCAGGTGGGGACTCAGACTAAGTACTACATTGTTTATAATTGCTCTACCATGTTCGAGGTATGTATTTTCAGTATCCGCTCGGAATGGCCGCCGGTCCATTCTGGGTTCTAGTGGCCTTATCTAACCACTAGAGTGTGCACATGGTCCGGTATTAGTTTGTGCCGGGAGATAGCGACATTAGTTTGTGCCGAGCGGCATTAGTTTGTGCCGATCAGATTCAGTTATCAGTTACGTGACTTATGTCGCGAGTTCAGACCGGTATCAGTTCAGTTCATATATATATTCTTAGTTCATGATATTGTTATTATTTACGATGTTTTACATTAGTATGAGTTTCCACGGAGTACAGTGCCTTAGTGCTCACTCCCCAGTTTATCATGTTTTTCAGGTCAGGATGTCGGGCCGGGAGCATGACGCGACGGGGCATGACGGGACTTTCAGGATATTTATATATGTTTTGGACTGTATAAATATGACTTATGCTTCCGTTTATCTTTTAATGACTTGTGATGATGTTTTTGCTATCTTTTGACGTACGCTTTTGACGAACTCATCACTTTGACGAACTTTTAAGAAATTAAGTTTTTCAGTAACCGGACGTTTTTAAAACAACGGTTTTCTAAGTTGAGTCACGATTTTTCACGGTAGCACCCCGAATCAGTTTTCGCAAAGTAAAAAGGTTTTATTTTCAAAGACTTTGCGAATTATTGCGCTACTCTGATTTTACAGTAAGGAGGGGTGTTACAGAAAAAGAAAAGGGTGTGCAAACCGAAGTAGCCTCGATGGGAATAAGCATCCACATGCAAACGGTTCGCCCACGATCAACTGATCCTCGATACTTCCTGCCAATAAAACCACCAAACTCCAATTATTCAAAAATAAAATAAAAAGCATCAACGAAACACACAAGAAAGCAGTAAATCACTTGGGTTGCCTCCCAAGAAGCGCTTCTTTAACGTCATTAGCTTGACGAAACCTGTACAAATCAACCGAGGTCCAAGAAAGAAGTGTCGATTATGCCACGCCTTTGTATTCTCCAATAGTAGTCCTGTTGGTAGTACGGAACAGAGGCGGGCAAAGTAGACTCTCGTGGCCACGTTCTTGTGATTCCGAGCACGGATATCAACACCTATCAAGAGAAAATATAATTGTTTACACACCATGGCCTTATGGTCGACCTCCGGAATTATGATCATGTCTGTAGAGCATATCGAATCCATCCCGGTCATCACCGACTCTCGGGCGTGTACTCAACATCTTGAGTCGAGCCATTCATCAATGCACTCTCTGGGTCAATGACCTCACATAATGACTCGATCTCATCCACAACATTATGAACTATCTTCTCCTCACAATCATCATCTCGAGCCCCTTCAGCTTCACTCTGCATAAGCGACTCCTCCAATGAATTATTCTCCACACCATGCACCGTATCTTCCTCCGAATCCACACACTCGCTTTTATCGATAGTGATCGCACCATCACCGAAATGTAGGTTTGACGTGGTTTGTAATCCCGGATCGTCATGAGAGGAGATTCTTCTAACATACAAATCGCCGATGTCCTCGCTCGTGTCGAGAGATTGTGTTCCATCATAAACGAGAGTGAGGCCCGCCTCTTTGAGAGAAGCAAACTGTTCCACCACAGCTCGATATTCGACCTCTAACCGTGCACTTTCTCGACACACTTTCGCCGATAGAGAAGAATATCTACCAAGCGGAATATGAGATGTGTCCAAGTTGAGGAAAGCAACTACGGTAGAGTCGAACTTTGTGAGTTGAGTTTGAAGTACGGATGGAACGGGAATGATCCTCCAATTATGAAACTCCTCTATGATTGATAAGAGGCTCGCAAGTACCTCTGGAGTGTTCGTCAAAACCTCTTGGTGATAGTCGGGAGATGAAGGTTGGTAATAAGGCGTCTCGTAATGATTTGAAGTGTAAGAATCATAACTGCCTTGAGATGTCGTGTAAGAATGGCTCGGGCCATACTCTTGAGATGTCGAGTATCCGTCATAGCAATAGGAATTTGAGTAGTTCGGATACTGATAGGGCGGCCCTCCATATGAGTGCATCTTCTCTTGGTAGTTGTCGGGGTATCCACGAGATGAGCTTCCGGCATAAGAATAGCCATACGGGTCCATCGGAGCTCCTCAAGTAAAACACCTTGCACAAGAAAAGCAAACAACCAAGGCACACGAGAACAAGAAATATATATATATATATATATATAATAATAATAATAATAATTTTTTTTTATGATTTTTACAAATAAAAAATAAAAATAAAAATACAAAAAATAGTAGAAATGAAAAATAACAAAATCAAGAGAAACACTGAAATTAAGCAAATATCACAAAAATAAGAGAAACACGGAAAATAAGATCAACACCAAAACCAAATGTTCTACTTGCCTTACCCGACAACGGCGCCAAATTTGTTGTAGCACAAATTGTTATTTTTTTTACCGAGCATCGAATTGAATGATTCGTTTCCCGGGTCGATCTCTCGAGGAAGGTGGTTCAGAAACTAGTATTGATGATGATAACACAAGAAATGAAAATAAAATCTAAACACTCTAAATCAAGATAGGGTTGAAAAATTATCAAGTAAGGTTCACAAATAAAGCGAATTAAATTCCACAACTCAAAAGCGAATAACAAATAGAAATAAACGAGCTAGGGTATCGTAGATAATCGCTTCCGGTTCTACACCTATTTAACGACAATCAATCACTCGGTTAAAAGGCTCGACTAATTAACTCATTTAGCGGTTCAACCATACTAACTCTCGTAATATATGGATAAACATAAATGAGTGAATCAACGAAACAACTAACACATAGACAAATACGTCTCCGAACATGTCTACCTCGTGCGAGCTTTGTTCGACAACCTCTCCCCTATCGGTTTCGAGAGTCGCTAAATAAATTAGTAGAAATTTAATCAACTAATCATATAGGATAAATGAACTTGAACTCGACAAATTAATATTCGGTTGTGTCCAACCGCTTGATCGAAGTGTCACCCTTCGATTATATCCATTTATCGAGCATGAATTCATCAACTTTTAATCAATACAACTAGTACAAGTTGAGCAATTGACAATCACATAAACGAAAACGAAACGGAGCAATTATCCCCTACCCCTAGCTAATGGATTAGCCACACATAGCAATATTGACACAAGAGATCATATCAATTAAAGCCATCATCAACATTTCTTAAACACAAATGAACACAAGAACTTATAATTAATATGAGATTAAAATGTCAAATGCTTAGTACATACCAAATCCTTGAGCTAGGAAGAAGGAGAATGCTTCTTCTAGTCCTTACAAGCCAACAAAATAAAAAATAAGAAAATAAAGAAGAAGAAAAAGTTGTGGAGAAGAAAATGAAGAAGAAAGAAAAGAAAAAGGAAGAAGAAGAAGAAGAAGAAGAAGAAGAAGAAAGTAAGTGGAGAGAATTGTTGGGAAAAAGAAATGATGTAGTGGAGTAATATAGGGAGAAGAATAGGAGAATGAGGAGGAAATATGTGTTTATGGGGTGCAACAACTCGATCTAACATGCCCATGGTCACCCCAACCTCACCCAATGTCCATAAATTGAGACAAAATGCACTTTCTGCTGAAAATAGGGGGTTAGCGCCGCTAAGGGACCTTAATGGCCTCTAAGAGCTCCAGTTCAAGCTCTCTGTTTCCCTTAGCACCGCTAAGAATGGAGGGTTAGCGGCGCTAACCCTTCTTAGCGCCGCTACAAAAAACTGCATTGCGCAACATTACGGTTTTGGCTCGTTTGGGCTCGTCCGAACTCGGAATTGAGTTCCGTTTTTTTCTACGCGTAGCTAACGAACACCTCTATCCAATGATGCTTTAATGGTCAAATTATTCTTGAAATACAATTCTCCCAAAGCTCTTGGCCATCACACTAAAGACGTGATTCGCGTTGAACTTCGCGTTTTGGCTCCTTCCGAATTCATCCGAACTCGAAATCAAGCTCCACTTTTTCCCACATATCACTAATGAACCCTTTTAACCAACCATGATTGCCCGGTCGATGTTCGGGCTAAATCAATTCCTCACGAGCTTTTCGATTTGCACACCAAAAAAGAAGAAAAACCGAGAAAACACAACAAACACAAAGAAAACAAAGATGGAATAAAATATATAATAAAACACAAAACGAACTAAAAACCAACTAAAAGACCTAAAACGCGGGAAAAAGAATGATAAAATAATAACGAAAATCGCAACAAAAATGGACACAACACCGCGCCCGTACTGCACTCGCGCGCCTTTGCGCCCTCCCAGTGCTCGTCGTCCATCTCGCGCGTGTGTGTCAGCCCCCAGCACTCATATGCCCGCTCGGCTAAGGACGTCGCCTGCATCGCCTTCACTTGTGCGCCCCTCATGATCCGCGTCTTCGCTGCCCGACGTCCGCGCGTCCCAGCCACCTCCGCGAGTGCCGCGCACGCCAGCCACCTCGCCATCGTCTTCGCGCCCCACGGTAACCCAGCGTGTCCCGCCTACGCCGGTGCTCCAATCCTCTATCGCGCACCTCCGTGCACCTGAAGCCATCAGCATGTCGTTCGCCCCTTTGCGCGCATCATGGGCCGATGCGCGTTGTTCGTCCACATTCGCCCATTCTTCTCCCTTGGCCTGCTCGCCTGATGGGCTTAGTCCACCCCGAAAACCCTCGATCCGTCCAAATGGCCCACTTGATGGACCCGGCTTGTCCCATGGGTCCCAACCTTCCATGCACCTACCTTCTGTTCCCATGCAATCTCCGGCACGCCATATCCATCCTTTGCTTACCACGCCTTCGAGCCTCCGAACGCCATGCTCGTTTCTTCCTCGCACAAGGCCCGCACCAACGACTTGCCTTCTTAGCCTTTGCCTTGCGTCTCCTTGATTTCGCCCTTGCCCTCGGACCACATCCTTGGACAATCTCTCACGCACGAAGGATGATAAATTGGACTAGATGGCTCCTTCAGCATGTTTTCTAGCCACATATCGAGATCTTCGACCATTCCGTCGCTTGACTCACCGGGGTTAATAATCACTTCCGTATCATTTCCCTCCTCTTCGAGAATTTTCTTGTCCTCAAGGATAATGAAATTTAGCGCACCTTCATCATCATTGTTTGTGACTTCGGCTTCTTCAGCTTCTTTGGCGTACTTCTCTTCTAAGCCCTTTCGCTCGTGGAGCTCTTCCAAATAATCTTGCTCGTTCGGGGTTAAGCTCCTCTCCAACCCCTCAAACATTAGAAGATCTTCCCAATCCAACTCATCTAATGGTAAGAAGAACATCTTTTTTTTTTTTTACTCTCGAAAAAATCAGACAAGACAAAAAAATTTATTTTTTTTTACTCTAACTCACGAAAAAACGAAGAAAAAGAATAAAAATTTCGAACCAAAAGTTCGAACAAAAAGAAAAAGAAATTTGGCCCCTCAGCAAAAGGCAAACTAAAAAAAAGAAAAAAGATAGATAGACAAAAACCTTGATCGACACTCTCAACGAAAGCACCAATGATGAGGGATCGCGTTTCTTGCCTTTTGGTTGTGAATAATCGCACACTCAAGGCCTTCGACTAAACACGATAGGTGTGACTAATAGACGCACTCATGGCCTTCTCTTAGACACGATTTGTATGATAAACACGCACTACGTCCTTGCTTAAGCACACGACTGAACACAACGTTCCTTTTCTATTCACTCATTCAACCATGTTCATAATGAAGAGGTACATGGGTATTTATAGGTGCATAAATAAATCTAAGCCTAATCAAACTAGATCTCCTAAATCATGCAATAATATAAATCCTAATACTAGAAGACTTATTAAAAGCAACAATAAATAAAATCCTAATTATACCAAAACTCCAAAACTTGACTTGCACTCCAATCCAATTACTTGAAGCTCAAGTCGCACGCCAAAAGCCACTGCCTCTCGCGCGCGCCGCCCTCGGCTCCTACTCCTCCCCGCGTACGGACTCGCGCGCTTCGCCTGTCTCGCACGCGCACGCTTTCGTGCGCCCCAAGCCTGCGCCGCCTTCCCCCTGCGCGTGCGTGCCCGCCTTTCCTAAGCCTTCGCGGCTTAGGACGTCCACGCCCGTACTGCCTTCGCGCGCCTTTGCTCGCTCCCAGCGCTCGCTGTCCATCTCGCGCGCATGTGTGTAAGCCCCCAGCACTCCTGCGCCCGCTTGGCATAGGACGTCGCCCGCATCGCCTTCACTCGCACGCCCCGCATGCTCCGCGTCTTCGCTGCCCGACGTCCGTGCGTCCCAGCCACCTCCGTGAGTGCCGCACACGCCAGCCACCTCGCCATCGTCTTCGCGCCCCGCGGTCACCCAGCGTGTCCCGCCTACGCCGGTGCTCCAATCCTCTATTGCGTACCTCCGTGCACCCGACGCCACCCGCGTGTCGTTCGCCCCTTTGCGCGTATCATGCACCGATGCGCGTTGTTCGTCCGCGTTCGCCCATTCATCTCCCTTGGCCTGCTCGCCTGATGGGCTAAGTCCACCCCGACAACCCTCGATCCGTACAAATGGCCCACTTGACGGACCAGGCTCGTCCCATGGTTCCCAACCTTCCACGCACCTACCTTCCATTCCCGTGCAATCTCCGACATGCCATATCCATCCATCTTCCATCCTTTGCTTACCACGCCTTTGAGCCTCCGAACGCCATGCTCGTTTCTTCCTCGCACAAGGCCCGCACCAACGACTTGCCTTCTTAACCTTTGCCTTGCGTCTCTTTGATTTCGCCCTTGCCCTCGGACCACATCCTTTTGGCCAATCTCTCACGCATGAAGGATGATAAATCGGACTAGATGGCTCCTCCAACATGTTTTCTAGCCACATATCGAGATCTTCGACTATTTCGTCGCTTGACTCACCGGGGTTAATAATCACTTCCGTATCAGCAGGGGCGGGCGTCCTAAACCGAGCAGGCATAGGCGAGACGGGCACTGGCGCACACGCACACTAGAGAGGCGGCGCGTACTGGGCGCGCACGAAGGCGCGCGCGTGCAACACGGAGAAGGCGCGCGATGCCTCGCGCGCTGAGGACTAGGCAAGCGGATGGGCAGTGCGAGTGAGAGGCGGCCGAACGACTTGGGAAGCAAGCAACTTGGTGTGCAAGTCAAGCAACTTAGAGATCAAGACCTTCTAGTTAATTAGGATTCTAGTAGTATTTACTTTCTTTATTGCATTAGAAGATCTAATATGTTTAGGAGTTAATATTTTATGGCTTTAATTAGTGATCTAGTTGGAGTCGGATTAGAGATAATTAGGATCTATAAATATGGATCATCTCCCATTGTTTTGGAGGTCGAATGTTGAATGAGTGAATAGAAAAGGAATGTTGTGTTCAATCGTGTGTTTAAGCAAGGCCGTAGTGCGTGTTTATCATACAACCGTGTCTAAGAGAAGGCTCTGAGAGCGTCTTGAAGTCACACTTATCGTGTTTAGTCGAAGGCCCAGAGTGCGCGATTACTCACAAACGGTAGGCAAAATCACGATCCCTCATCAACGCCCTACAGCGCGGCACCCAGCACGCCGCGGTGCATGATCCCAGCACGTCGCAGTGCCCTACACGCCGCGGTGCATGCCACCCTCGCGCCACGGTGCCCACTTCTCTCGTGCAGCACGTATGACTTTCATGCCCGTGAGCCCTGCCAAGTATAAATAGCGTATCAGGACTTTGATTAGAGAAAACCTCTCGACCAGGGTAAAAACTCTCGGGCCCGAGAAAACACGAAAAACTTAACTCTTCCCCTTCTTTCTTCTTCTCCATCATTTTTCTTCTTCTTTTTATCTTTCTTTTTAATTTTTCTTCTTCTTCTTCTTCTTTTAGTTAGGGTTTAAGCTTGTAATTCAAATTCAACTTTGGGATTGCAATTAATTGTAAGTAATTCTTTCTCTTGTTTAATTCATGAACAATGGTTAGCTTGAGAAGAATGATTATGTTTATTGAATTTGATTTACGTAGCTGAATCTGATTGCTAGGGATAGGGGATGATTGTTCTTGTTTAACGTGCATTTGTCGGGCTTTGAATTGTTCATGCTTATGTGAGTTGTTTTGATTAGGAATTGATATATTCTTGCTTGATTGATTGATATAATCGAAGAGTGACACTTCGATCTTGCATTTGGTAACAATTGAATGTTGATTAGTCGAGTTAGGGTTTTGTTGATTCTATGTGATTAGTCGATTAATACCCTTCTAGTTAATTAGCGACTTTTAGAACTGTAAGGGGAGAATTCGTAGACCTAGGCTCGCATGAGGTAGATGATTTTGTAAATGAATAATCTATGTGTTTTAATTGAAATACGCACTTGTCGATGACTCGTACCTTGTTACGAAAAGTTATTGGGATTGAGATAATTGGCATGTGTTTTATGCTCGAACTTGTTCATCTATGTTCAATCCCTTGTTACGAAGAGTTATTGGGAGCGAACCGCTAGATGTATAAGCGAGAGTGTCAATCTCGAACCGAACAATTGACTGCCCGGTTTTGCTAGAACTTGAATTAATTATCCCCGACTCCTTAGCTTCTCCATCTTTGTTTCGTCTGCACTTTAGGTTGATTATTATCTTTATTTTATTTCTTAGCCGATAATTCAACAAATATGCTATCTGATTAGAGTGTTTAGGATTTATTTTCTTTTTATGTGTTATCAATATCAAAGCTAAATTCTAAACAGCCTTCCTCGTTAGATCGACCCGGGGAACGAATCTTCTGGTTCGGTTCTCGGTAAAAATAAGAATAACTTTCTACAACACAAAACATGCAATCAAGAATATCAGCCATGTGCGTAAATATAACATGTTAATCTTATTATATAACAGACTAGAAAGTTAACAGCACAGCCGGCCTGTGCGCTTTATAATTATTTAATTTGTTTACATTGTAAATAGTTATTTGTCGTGTGCAATTTAATATTTTTTTGTCCTTTTTTGTATTTTTTTAAAATTTAACAAATGAAACAAAAAATAGAAGTGAATGTAAAAAATTTATTAATAATGAGTAGCATAAAAGCTTATGTAATATTTTTTATGCACTACAATTTGTAATGAATGATGAATAAAAAATTTCGTAATTTTTAGTTAATATTTACGGTTTATAATCATTTATTTTATACGTATTTGAAAGAATTACATGTCGTGTGTAATTATTTTTTATTTAAATTTGTGAATTGGTATTGGTTGTATTGTTCGATGAGATTGACCCATTATAATTTAATTTTTTGTTTGTTTCCATTGATTTTTTTTTTCTTTTTTATTATTTAATAAATAAAAAAATAGAAGTAAATGTTTAACAATTTAAGAATAATGAGTATTATAGAAGTTTAGGTCTTGTTTTCAGTGCAGTACAATTTTTAATGAATAACTAAAATAAAGTTTTTAATTGTTAGTTATATTCACTACAATTTTTTGTTTAGATATATTTGTTAAAAAAAAATTGAAAAAGGGGAAAAGGTAAAATGTAAAAAAGAAAATAAAGAAATTAATCCATTGTCCATGTATTTATAATATTAAAGAAATTAAAGTAATCCCATTTTAATCCTAACCTTACAATGACCATTTTGTCCTCAATATTGGGTGCGAAAATACTAAAACACCCCTGATTGTCCATGTATTTATAAATATATACATATAAAAATTGAAAACGGGCCATTTGTCCTAGTTTTTGCAGCGACAAGTGAGGAAGAAGCACAGAGCTTCGGTATTTTCGTCGGCCCGAAAAGTAAGCTTGAATTTCGCCTTCTTTGTGTTTTCCAATCATGAAGTAAGCAACCATATTCTATATTTGTCGATTAATTGGAATTGAGGATTGGTAATTCCATTTTTTTTTTTTTTGAAGAAAGCCTATATCTTGTTATTTTTTTCCTC